TTTGTCTATCTGCTGGAAATAGACAGATAACACAACACAGCCAGCTCTGAGTGTGCACGGCAGTGAGGCTTGAACACCTGTTTCCTGGTGAATGTCAGGTCAAAGGTCAGAGTCTGGAGATCTCTCACTAAGTGGTCATCTCTTTGAGGGCTACTGCTGAAACATGTTTGTAATATGACCTCCCTGATCCTTGACCTCCTTTAACCAGCGGCCTCACCTACACCTAAATATAGTTTATCCCCTGTCCAAAAAGGGGAATTTGCTTGCAATGCTGTACATTGAATTTCATATATAGAAACACACATATAAATTTATTCCGAACATTCCCCCCAACTCAGATACTATTTGCGGTCATCATTCAGGGCAACTCATGCAATCCGTGAGGAGGAAATAATTATGAGGATGAAATTAAGAGAGGTTTATTACTTCCTGAACAGCGACAGCTCTCATCTATTAGCTTCTCCAGCCTGCTAATGTACCCGCTGATGAGCTATGGCCAAGTAATGACGTGCTCGGCTGGCTGTGAATCTATAGGTCTCTCCCCAAATCTGCTCTCTCTGGCTCCCAGGCTCATGGGTGGAAAACCACAGTCACTAAATCAAACCCATCAGGAGGGAGAGAGAGTGATGGAGAGAGGGAAAGAAAAAGAGAGAGAGAGAAAGAGAGAGTGTGTGGGGAGGGGGTTGGGGGGGGTCTAGCTGTCTGTTTCTCAGGCTTTCGGGGACAGGAATGTGTTGGAAAGGGTACAAATCAACTGGGAGTGACTGCACAATAAGGTCAGTGTGACCAGAGGAGAATCCTGACTCAAATGCAAGACATGCACAAACACACACACATGCACACAAACAAACACATTAAACCCACTAATGCAAACACAGTGAGGGATTGAGTCGGGGCATAACCCCGTGCCCACCCTGTGAGTGGCTAATAACTGTGGCACGGCGCCAAACCCACTGTCTCCTGACTGATTCTCCCCCCATGCCCGCCAGGACTGGCGCCACCCTGCAGAACAGAGCTCTGTTTCTCAAAGACTCTGTGATCATTACATTACTGAATTACTCAAATAGATGGATGAAAAAACAGCAACGCATGCAGGCCGTCGAGCTCGTCCGACCCCCTGAACAATAACATGCAATGGAAGAGACAATGGGAATGCTGTGCAATTAATATTTGCTTCTTGAGACTGCCTCTGCTCATACAACTCACATAGACACACCTCAACGCCCAGTGAGCCGTGCTGGAAAAAAAACCAGGGCATGGAGGTGGCACTCTGCCAAAAGTGGTGCTGCCAAGGGACTCCGAATACCCCGGCCTCCAGTGGCATTTAAGTCACACACACACACTCGCACTTCCATCTGCCGTGCTTCATGGGAGCAGTGGCAAGCTTGTCACTGTCAACCGAAGTTAGCCCACCCTCCTGCCATCCCTGCAGAGAGGGAAAAGAAAAGAAGATAAAAGCAGTAGCAGTGGAGGAGGGAGAGGAGCAAGCAGTGGCATTCCTCTCCATACCTCCTCTGTCAGCCTCCAAATCTCTCTGTCCAAACACACCCCCACCCCCACTCGCTTCAGTGTCCTTGTCCTCCTCTCACCATACCTTCCCTCCCTCTCTCCACATGCTCCTGTCATCCCTCAGTTGTATTCTTTCTGGCACTGCTCCTCTCATCGCTCCACCTGCTGGTCTCTTCTCTGGACAACAGATAGAGGGACGGACGTCTCTAATCACCCTCCATCAAATCAGACAGCTCCTCTTTAATAATGTGCTCTGCTAACATGGATGATGGGGATTGAACCTGGCTGCTGTGTTCTCCATGCGAGACTCGTAATGTGAAACGTTAGCTCCAGCAGAAAAGCTACAGCTCGGACATCGATCCTCCTCCCAAGAAAAATGCCGGTTGGCCGATATCGGGAATCACCCCCCCTCTGTGCCCCGACCAGCACCTACACTCTGTCCTCAGTGGTGCTCCGGGCTCCCACGGTGGGTGATTGTAATTGTATTGAACTGGCCAGCAGCCAGAGGCACAAGCCTGCCCGGTCCAGCTGTGCAGCGGCAATCAAAACACACTCAGAAGCTTTTCTCATGACAATCACATCAGCAGCATGTGTAGTTCTTAAAGAAAAAAAACATGCCAAGACACATATGTACACACAGAATGTGTCTGAAAATAGATTCGCTCAGAACGACAGATGCAAAGACAAAAGACTGTGATTAGTTAGTGGATGAGAAGTAGAAGGAGCTGAATGTGTTGTAGCATTGACGATACATACCATACATTCTGCCCTTTACATTAGTCCAGTGTGTCCCTCCCTCCTTGGCCCTTCACCACTGACAATGAAGTATTGACTGTGTGGTTTCTGCATGTGAAGCTTTCAGCGTAGGTGTTCATGGGTCGGCTCAAACGTCACATTTCCTGTTCATACCCCTGATCGCTCTCTGATAAGGCCTCACGATGGACCGCAGAGTGTTTAGACACCTTAAATAAGAACTGACTGTTGCTTTTCTCTGTTTGTGAAACTGCATGTTCTGATTACATCATATAAATGATCTCTCTGTGACATACTCAAGTTCACAAATATCCACAACTAACCCACGATGCAGTGTCAAAGTGCAGCCTGCAAACATTTAAAAAAGAGCTACAGCATTTAAACCCTTAAATATTCACACATTTAAAACCCATGCAGAGAGGAGGCTTCAGTGGACAGCAGGACTGCAACTGTCTCAACCGATCAGCCTCCACTCGAGCTGTTGCGTTGGGACCCATTTAATGCTTTAAACCCAACAGTCTTAAGATCATGACTGATTGTGCACCTCTCTCCTCTGCTCTGTGTGAACACTGCAAGCGTGTCTCGTGTCACGTTCCCAGCCTGAGCGGAGGAAATGGGCCGTGTCATGTCAGTGTGAGCTGCGGAGCAACACATGATGGAGAGCACTTAAATAACTCATGAAAACCCTGTTCTCAACCCACACTGGAACGCTGAGTCCTCTGCATGTACGCGAGTATGTCTGTGGGTGTGTGCGGTGGCCCCCTTTGTCATGACTGTTTAACCAAATGCCTTTGAGTGTGTTGTGGTTGAGCTAGTGTGCCTGTGTGTGTGTGTGGGGGGGTGTTCAGTTGGAAAGAGAGCAGGAGATGAGTTTCTGTAAACGACAGGGGGGCCCTCACGGCTAAACAGAAATAGCCTCAGAGAAAAAACACAAAGAAGCCTGTGCGGGAGAGAACTGTGAGCAAGAGCGACAGAGGGAGGGGTGAGGAGAGAAAGAGAGATGAAGTGCAAAAAAAAAGAAGGGCGAAGAGTTATAAGAACAAGTTTTTACAAAATTCCTTTGTTTATAAGTGTAAATTTTTGCATGAAAAAGACAAAGGGAGAGGAAGTAGAGAAGCCCAGTGAAAAGGCAGGATATACGCTGATAAGAGCAGACAGCAGCACTTTCCACATAAACGCACTGAGCTCCAAAACCAAGTGTAGTGATGGCCTCCCTCAGGGCTTACGCTCTCTCTCTGTCTCACAAACTCACACACACAAGCACGCACGCACACGCACACACACACACACACACACACA